GACAATTGTGACAAAATCCCAGTGCTGTGTGATGCAATGGTCAGCACCAGTCTGCGACACCATTTGCGTCCGTGGCTGTTTGTTGTGATTGCAAAACTGATGACACCAGACAGGCTGGCAGCAGCTGCAATCCTGGACAGGCACTTTCAGGAAACACTTATGGGATGTGCTAAGGAATATTCAGAAATATTATTTCAAGGAATGTGGACCAAGAGCATTGATTTAGCTGAGACGATTTCTGCCTCTGTGTCCCTGTGAATGTCTGAGCTGTGCCATACACATCCTTGGAAGTCTTATGCAGCCCTGTGCTTTGCAAATGTTTGCTAATGAACTTTGCTTTAACTGAAGGTCTGCTTAGTGGGAGTATTGGAAACTCTTCAGTAACACAGAAACATAACCAGGGCAGGAAGTGACTGGGCAAGGGGGAGTGGATTTAAACTGACAGAAACCAGATTTGGATTAGATATTTGGTCGAAATTCTTACTTTTGAGGCTGGTGAGGTCCTGGGACAGGTTACCCAGAGAAGCTATGGCTGTCCCATCCCTAGAAGCATCCAAGGCCAGGATGGATGAGTAGCCTGTCTAGTGGAAGGTGTCCCTCTCCATGGCAGGGGTTTAGAATGAGGTGGCATTTAAGGTCCCTTCCAACCTAAACTATTCTATGATAGTTCATGTTTTCTACAGCCAGCTTCTAAGTAGTGCAAGGTAGTAATTGGACACACATCCACTCTTATCCTTTCCTTCTCAAGGCTGTGTGAATCCAGCTTCCACCCCTTTCTTTGACTGTTATGTGTGCTAGCCCCTTAACAAACTTAGTGGCCCTATGCTCCACTGTCTCCAGTTTATCAGTGTTTGTTTTGAACTAGGGGTCCAAAATTAGACACAGTGCTCTAGGTGCAGTCTTAGAATGCTGTGTAGAAGCTCTTAAAAATCACTTTCCCTCAGTGTGCTTTTGTTAGTGCAGCCCATTAGCATTTGTCACTGCCAGAGCTGCTGGCTTGCACTCAGCTTGCTGCTGTCCTTCCATCAGGACATCTCCTCTTTGGAGATCTGACCCTCTGGATGTTGGCCTGCAGTATTACAGAGCAATGTCCTGTCCCAGGTGTGAAAATCTGCATTTTAATTTATTGAGCTTAATGAGGTTTGTCAGATTATTCTTAGAACTTGTTAGGGTGCCTCTGCGTGGCAGTCCAGCCCTGCAGCAGGACTGCTCCTCTGAACTTGATGCTAAATCAAAATTTTATGAAAATCTGTAGTCTTTTTCCCATCTTCTGGGTCATTAATGAAGATATTCAAACATACTTATCATGGAGGGATGCCACAGCTGATCACAAAAAGCAATTGAGTTGGTCAGGCCATGCTAAATCCATGGTGGCTTTTCCCACACACCTTCTTGTCCTCCATTTACTTGGAAATTGCTTTCAGGAGGAATTGACACATAATTTTCTTAAGGACTGAGGTTAGGCTTTGTGATATTTGTTTTCTTGCTGTCCCTGGGAAGCTACTCTACTTAGAATAAAATTCCAAAAAGGAGTGACATTGGTCAGCTCTTGTACAACACGGATGCATATTTTGCCCTGCTTGTTTGTCCCTAATTTGTCTGACTCTGGCAGTGTTTCTTTCCCCAGAGTGTAGCCTCTGGAGTGTGGGAGACCTGAGAGGAGATCTTGCCAGAGAAGACTGGGGCAAAGAAGGCATTGAGTACCTCAGGTTTTTCTGTGCATTTCAGCATTTCCTCCTCACCATCCCTGTCCAGCAGTGAGCTCACCCTGTCTTTGGCTTCCCTTTTGTTGCTGTTGGAGCTGAGAAGCCTTTGCTGCCTTTCACATTCCTCAACTCCAGTGGAAATTTCAGTTTCAGCTCCACCTGGGTGTTGATCTTCCTGACTCCATCTCTGCATGCTTGTCCACGTGCTTCCTGGGCAGCCTGTGCCTGCTTCCACCTGCATGGTTCCTCTTGGCAGCTGAGTCCAAGACTGTCCTGCAGGGTTTGAGTAGCACGGGGTGGATGAAGCCTGAGCAGCAATGTGCAACATCAGTGTGAATTTGGCTGATTTATGGGCCATAATTGGAGCTCATGTGCTGCAACACGCCTGCTGAAGAGGTTGAGCACTGCAGCAACTGAGCTGTGTCAGAAACAAGCACATATATCTTGTTCAAAGTTTAGTGACACCAGCCTGTGGTACAGGTTTGTGCGTTCTACACTGCTTAAAAGCTGAAGGGGAGAGAGAGGGAGAGAGAGAGAGGTAATCCCTGTTGAGTCATGCATGTGCCAACTCAACCCTTTGCTGCACTTGGGCAGGAGGGAGAGAAAACAACTTGTATAACTCACTCAGCTCCTGCAAGAGGCTTCTCTGTTTCCCCCAACCACTCTTTCTCTTTCTTTTCTCAGAAATGTTGGAGGCTGTTTTCTCTCAAAAACCCTAATAAGAAAAAAATAAAGTGTGTGGGGGGGAATGTTTCTCGGTTTGGCAAAGGTCAGATATGATTTAATTATGGATAGGCCAAATGAGTGACTGGCAATCTCCAAGTTCAAGATTTACACAGTAATTGAGGTTGAAATGGACCCCAGGAGGTCACGTTGATCAGCCTCTGCTGAAAGCCCAACCTCTGTCAAAGGCCATTTATACAGGGAGAAAGAAAAGACAGAAGAGAAAATGCAGAGGAGCTGGAAAATACTACTCTGACCTATAATGTTTATCATCTAATGGGAAACTGCCACCTGAGATTAACATGTATTGAAAAGAGTTGTTAATCTGAAACCCAAGCAATGAACTTTAAACTAAGGTCTCCCACTTGTACTCAAGTTTCAGCTTTTTCTGGATATCGTAATTGTTCCTTTAAAACCTCACTTTGGTAGCAGACAAAAGGGACAGTGGAATATTAGGGTTTGCTGGTAAAAGCAGTGAGGAGCACCATTCTGGCAGTGCATAAATTGGGACCTATATGTGCCTTCTACACCAGGCACAGTGCTGGTCATCAGCCAGAAAAATAATGGGACAGTGAATGGGAAAAGGAGTTCAGAAAAGGGTAGCAGGAATGCTTGGTTTTTGGAAAAGCTGTCTCTGAGGGGTGCCTGAAGTAAGGACCACTCACCCTGGAAAAGAAACAAGGAAGCTGCTGAGAGGCACAGTTTGAATGTGGAAATCCTGTACAAAGTTTCTGGTTTAAAGTTTCCTGATGTCAGACATTTCTAATATCTTATAAAAGAGCCCTTCCTTCCTTACCAGCAGCCTGTGTCTCTTGCTCTGCTCTTCCCTTTCTCCCCTGTGTAGATTTCATGGCTGGGCTGGCCCTGTGGTCTTGTTAAGCCATGGCAAAAATATCCACACCCCAGCAGGTACCAGCACCCCAAAAGGTGCCAGCTGTGCAAATCTGCTGCAGGCAGCACCAGGCAGAGGTGTGCCCCTGAGAGGGCAGCTTAAACTACATTTACTGCTGTATTTCTGGAAGAAATGGAGGAGAAAATGCACATGGAGGGAGCAATAAATGGAAACACTGCTAGCATTAAACCAGACAGTTGGGTTTATTATTTATTTATTTAACTGGTGGCTTAAATACTAATGACCTTTGAACAGAGGCAACTCATGGGTTTAATTAACCTCTTTATTTCTATATCACTGTTAAGACAAAGTTCAAACTTACTCTACACTAAGTGGTAATTAAAAAGTCAAAGCCTGAGGCTCTCTAGAGAGGGCAGCTAACACATGTGGTTAAGAATTGATTTAGGAAAAAAAAAATAGCACTAACAAACTAATAGAAATCATGTAAAAATTCTTGTTAGATGTAGTTTAAAAAAAAGCTTGAAATGATGAAGATTTTATTTTTGTGAGTCATCTGCCCCAAAACCCCAGGGTAACAAATCAGTGCTCAAGAAATGCCTTCTATGGAAAAGGTCAGTTGCTCTGAAGAGACAGTGGGGGGAAAACGTGACAAAAAGGCTGGAGCTTGATGGCAGCTGACTTTTATTTCAGGGCATGGTTATGCACTGAAACAAAAGTTGTCAGTTAAACAAAAGTCATTTACCTCCTCCCAAAAACTCCCAATAATTCAGTTTCTATAGACTTTGCCTCATAGCTGCTCAGGTATGTATGTTGGGTGTGAATTGTGCAAGTCCCGTTGTCAGGAATAAACATGCTTGACCTGTTGACATCCAAGCAAAGTGTCAGGGCTCCCAATGTGCTTCTGAATCCCTCAGTGAAAAGTTTCAGCTGGATTTTACTCCTAACTATTGGAATTTGTTTGGAGAAGTGAAACTTCTGTATTGTGCTACAAAGCCTGTTTTTTGAAGTCAGGCTTTTCACATGCAAAAACACAGTGAGAAAAACACTTGGTAGGAACAGATTAAAAATAGATTCTGTGTGGGGGTCAAAATGAAAACAAAGCAAGCATTTTATTTCCAACCTGGTGTTATGGTTTCTTGATGTCTTCTTTGTGAAAATGTGGAGTTTAAAAGCATGTTATGTTTCCCACAGTTCTGACTTTGGGAATCTTACCAGCTCCTATTCCCTTATGGTTGTTCTTTAGAGATTAGCAGCCTGAGTGAAAATGATATCCTCGTTCTGCGTCTCGACCTGACTGACAGATCCTCTCATGAAGCTGCAACCAACAGTGTGCTCAAGCACTTTGGCAAGGTAAGATGTGCTTCTGGGGTTAAACTGTTATTTCTTTGTCTCCTAGACCTGCATTTATGCTCATATTTCGCTTCTGTTTTACTGCATGATAAGTTCAGAGGTGCCTACACCTTCCTTCAGCTTCAGTATTAAACTTGCCAAGAAGTACTTGCATTTTTATCCCTTCTGTTGCTTGCTTCTGGTTTTCATCAACAAACAAATAATCACTGGTCCTTCCCAAGGACTAAACACTCACTGAATTGCCTGAGGAAGCACAAATATTAAAGAAAATTGTGTTTATATTGATTTATCTTCTTATCTCTCTGGAGATTGACGTTCTGGTCAACAATGGTGGGCGCTCACAGCGCTCCCTGTTTGTGGACACCAACCTGGATGTCTACAATGCCATCATTGAGCTCAACTACCTGGGCACCATCTCCCTGACAAAGTATGTCCTGAACCACATGATCCAGAGGAAGAAAGGGAAGATTGTCACTGTGAGCAGTGTCATGGGCATCATGGGAGCTCCTCTTGCCACCGGCTACTGTGCCAGCAAGCACGCTCTGCAGGTGAGTTATGGGCTGGAAGTTAATTAAGTTAATTAAGAGGAGCAGTGCCAGTGCTGCAGCAGAGGGATTTGTTCCGTGCAGAAAACACAAGTCTCACCTGAAATTTCACACAGCATATGCAACATGCTCAGGTATTGGAAGTCCTTTAGAATTAATTTGCTCTGAAATGTGAAATAGCTCCCACCATAGATTTTTTTCCCTGACTGGAATGCAAGTGCCAGCTTAGTTGGTTCTAATTAATGGTTAAATTCCAGTGTGAAACACAAAACCTCAGCCTCTGGCCTTCAGATGAGGAAATACCTCTATGAGAGCATTATTCTGTTCCATACAGAGCCCTAAAGTTCTCAGTTCTTTTAGGGTGAAAGAGTCACTGGTGAGAGTTTTACAACTTGAGGAGATCTTTAGGACAGTGAAGTGAGAACAGTGAGTGGTAAGGCAGACTGCTCAGAGAAATGAGAACTCCTGATCCATCTGGGAACAGCTGAACCACTCTTCCCAAGAGTTCTGGGTCTTTCTGTGGTGTGAAGAACCTGCAGCTCACAGTGCCATAGGAAATTATCTTCTGCCTAACACTTAGCACTCAACATTGCCTGGAAAAAGTTTTTGAAAGCAGTGTCACTTGAGTAGAAAAACATAAAAGAGGAGTTCAGAAAAGTTCCTGCCTGTATCATTGAGGAATCCCTTGTTTAACTAGTAAATTTGTTTGGGCATATTAGTCTTTCACCACTGTTTGGCCTCCTGTTAATGTACATTTTGATCTCAGTAAAACAAACTTCGGCTGTGCTCAGTGGTGGTTTAAAAACTGGCATCTTCTTACTCCCTGCTGCATTTCAGCATGTGAACAGAACAAACAACTGCTTAAGCCAAGGGATCAACATCTTTTTGACAATTTGACCAGCAACAACAAAAATGTAACAAGTGGCTGACACTGCAAAGCCTCTTGAAAATACAAGATGTAGAATATGGTGGCAGGTCTTTGCTAAAAAAATTTCAGTTAGTTTTGGGGAGAGATCTGCTGCTCTTCATCAGAATTGCCCATTACAGGCCAGCTTTTGGATTAAGCCTGGTAGATTAAAATTAGAAGAATGCAATGAGCAGAAGCCTGACTTGCCTTCATGCTCCTTTATTTATTCAATGTTCTTTCGGTTGAATTATCTTTGGGTGTGGTGCAGCTGGGCTAAGCATGGCTAATTAATTGCAGAGCACAAGGAATTCACGTGTTGCTTTAAAAATACTCAGAACTCTCAATCTCATGTTAAGATTGAGAGCACAGACAAAGCTTTAAAGAGATAGTTTACTAAAATGAATTAAAATTAGCTGACTGAACTGTTTCTATCTTTATTAGCTTCTACCTCTGCTCAATAACCAGGCCAGACTCCAAACCTCCTTCCTTATTTCTTCCACAGTAAGTTTAGGAAGACTAATTGCAGTTGTTGAAACAGGACTTGCAATATTGGTTTTGGAAATACTCTGCCTTGAGAGTCTTTGATCAGTCTGGAGTTACAGCTTCATGAGGGCATGAAGCCCCCAAAACAAGAAAAAACTTCTTCCAAAGAACAAACTCCACCAGGGCAGTTCAGATAAAGGAATTCTGTAGGAATGGCAGCCCTCCTTAGCCCTGTAGTCCATTTCTGATGGTGACCAAAAAGAAATAGAGACTGGAAGGGAGGAGGGGAAAAATAAGCCAAAGCAAAAAGTGGTGCTTTTCCTGTTCATGTTTCCCAGCATGTATCCACCTGTCCTGTTTTCTAAGATCTTCTTGAAGGTTGTGTTTTGGCCACCAGTTATTAAATATGTGAGCCCATCTGACATGGATTTTTCTGTTGTGGTTTTTGCCTTGTTTTGGTATTTTTTTTTAATTCATGCCTTGGAGTCTGTCACAACTGACACACTTAATGCTGCAAACTTAATTACACCTCTTTTTGAAAAAGTTCTTCCTTTTACTTGGTTTTGTTTGGTTTTGGGGGGTTTTGTTGTTGGTTTTTTCTTGGTTTTTTTTTTTTTTTCTTTTTTTTCGGGTGGGTTTTTTTGTGTTTTAAAAAAATTCCTTTAAATGGCAGTTGTAGGAGGAAGGAAGGAATTCTGCCTGGAAATAGAATCTGTTCTTGAAACAATCATGCTTTGATTCATGCCAACTGGAATTCTTCATAACAATGTTGTACTGATGAAATTACCCTTTATTTCAGTGCTGGCAGTGCTGTAAGAGCATGAGTCAAGCCCACAGGAGTCTGCATCTGCCTGGTGCAGTTTCCCTCCTGGAGGGATGATGCTCATGGAGATATGTGCCATTCATCCAGCTGGAATTCATCTGCTTGGTGGCATGGATCAGGAATGGTGGCCTTCAAAATGTTCCTTCATCAGGAACTTGTCTAAGCACACAGACTGAGCAGCAGCAGCTCCTCTCTCTGTTCCCTGTCTGGTCTTTAGTGGAATTCCTTCAGTCTGGGCTTGGTAGGAATACTCAGGTTCTTCCTCTTGCACTGGAGTTCCTTTACTGCTCCCAAATCTGGGTCTGTCCCTGCCTGAATTTCAATAAGAGAAAGCACTTATTTTTCTTGCTGAGGAATTTAAAGCTTCTCTTCTGGGAGGAAGCAGAGGAATTTCATGCCAGCTATCTTTGAATATCAAGGATAAGTGCTGGGATTAGAAAACATGTGCCTGCTGTACACAGAGCCTCCAGAGGGGACTGAGTCCATGTGAGGTTCTGGTTTCCAAGAGGCCCTTGGCAGTGTGCATCAGCCAGGATTTAGGGTGAGTGAGTGTCCTGGCCCTCCTGTGTTGCTGGTGAAGGCTGTGCCACTTGTCTGGTGTAAAACCTTGGATCTGCAGCACGAGGGAAGGATGTGGGACAGCAGAATGGCTGCAGAGCAGGACCAGGAGCTCGCTGGCATCTCTGGCTACTTGCATTTCATGTTTACAGGCTGTGCAGCCTTTAGTGGAATCACCCTGGCTTTGACAGTGCCCTGGAGCTGCCTGCTGCTGCTGTGTGCCTCTGTGGCTGCTCAGGTGCCCAGCTTTAGGAACAGCTTGGATCCCAGGAGCCTCTGAGCAGGTGGAGGAGCTTTGTCAAAAGTAACTGAGCCATGCTCTGGCTTCCCTTCCATCACAGCATTCCCAGACACACACCCTCCCACCTCCCTGACTCCTGGAAGTGCATCTTGAGTGTGTTCCCTTCAGACAAAATGGGAGCCAGTTCTGTTCCTCACCTCCAGTGGGCAGGGAGTGGTGGGCAAGTGGGTGTCTGTGTGCCTTTTTAGGTGTGATTTTATGTGCCTTTTTAGGTGTGATTTTATGTGCCTTCTTAGGTGTGATTTTATCTGCCTTTTTGGGTCTGATTTTATCCTCAGCTGGACTGAGTCACCACCTTTGGGGCTTTTCTGAAAGAAGTAGGCTCAGGGTCCCTGAGGGAAGGAAGAGGATGAGGAAAGTGCAGGTTGGGATGTAGGATTTTCCTGGAGTGCTGGATAAAACACAGCCCTGCTTGTGCACACGAGGGTGGGGAGCCAGGCGAGGCCTTGGCTTTTTAAACCAAAACTGCTGGGTGTCCAGGAGCAGATTCCCATCTGTCCAGGGGCAGATTTCTGGGCACGTGAGTTTCCAGTATTAAATTTAATCCTCTCCAGGCTTTGCTGACATGCTGTGCAGATCCAGCCCCAGATCTGGGGTCTGTGGGTACTCACAACTTTAAATTCCTGCTCAGTGTTTTTAGGGAACTGAACAGCAAAGCCTGTATGGAATACATAAATTGGAATTAGCCACCAGTAACTGGGAAACTGGAGCCCTCTTCTTGGTCAGAGTGTGCTGCTCCCTGCTGAGCTTTGGTGGCTTGTCCCAGCTGCTGCTTCTGTGTCACCACAGGCTCATATCTGACTGGTTTTAGCCTGTGTTGCAGCTCAGGGAAGAGCTCTGGGGCAGCCAGCCCTCCTCCCAAGCTGGATGAGAGTGGAGTGATAAAATTTTACTACAGTGGGAGAAGTTTATCAGCCTGAGCTCACTCTGTGTCTCTGTTGTGACACAAAATTACGTGTTGGAATAGATACAGGGGAGTGCTGGTAGCCAGGTCAAAGATAAGACGTGATGGGGTGTTGGCTAAATCATCCTCCAGAGTGTTTGACCAGCAGCTTTGGAGGAATGCACCCTTCTGAACTGGCCATGTTTCCCATAATGGTTGCTGTCTAAACGTGAATTACTACAGAGATTCAGAAAACCTTGTAACCTCTCAGCTTAAAGAAAACAAGTACTCGCAATTTTTGTTATTTTGGTTTAACTTGGATACACTGGTAGCATATTCCTGAACTGAAATGAGATTTCTATCTATGTTGCTGCCAATTTCAAACTCTGTAGCAAATTTGGTGCTGCAAATTAACCCACTTGAAGTGTCAGGGTGCATTTTTGACTTTGCCATGCTGGAAATTTTCCACCTTTTCTTACATGAACTAGTGACACTTACTTCATAGAAACTGTATAAACTCTTTATTGTCACCCCAAACAGCAATTGACCTGCAAAAGGTAATTTCCATGATATTGCAATACTTAGGATTGGTGGCATTTCCCCTGCCAGGCAGTAAGGCTTGTCCTCAGTACAGGGACAGCAGAATCTGGCTGTAGTTCAGAGAAATTACTGGGTATTTGGTCAGATGAGGATGGATTCCTCACTGGTTTATGTATCAATGTCTGTAAGTGCTGATAAAATGCTAAATTAGCCATTGAGTGTGAAAAGTCAAAGAAAATAGAAGGAATTGCTTGTATTGGAATCTTGTTATCTTTACAGTATAAATTTGTATGAAAAGATGTCATCAGCTAAACCTTGCAGAAAACATGGGAAAGGAAGATTTCACTATATTTTTGTCTTCTAGGGATTCTTTAATTCTCTGCGGACTGAGCTGACTGACTACCCTGAGATAAGCATTATCCAAATCTGCCCAGGGCCTGTGCAGTCCCAGATCATCCAAAATGTCTTTACTGAGAATCTTGCAAAGGTAAGGACTCAGTTCTGCTGTGACAAACCCAACTTCTGCTGTGAGGCCAGTGATCATTTTGTGGGGTGCTTTTGTCTGGTTTTGTCCTCCCTGCAAACTCTAACCTCATCCTCTTACCAAGAAAGGCTTTGAGTGGTGCAGAACTGTGTACACTCTTGGTGGTATCAACTGAAGATTGAGTTTGATAATTGCTATTCCTTCTTTCTTGCAACACAAACAACCCAAGTCTAGTAAAATGTGCTGTACAGCCCCCGTGCTGCAGTTTTGGGGGGGAAAGCCAGGATTTTCTGGACACAGCTGTGCCTGGGGAGTGCTGTCCTTGCTGCACAGGTAGGGTTTTGTTTGCCCTGGTCACGCTGTGCCCTGGTGGGTGACGCTGCTGCTGGCACAGCCCCGGCTCAGCTGACACGAGCTGTGCATTCCTTTCCTGTTAGGGATCGTTCCAGGAGGAAAAGCAAAACCTTCCAACTGCACAATGGCTTTTAGTAAAGGCTGTCTGACAAAGCAGCTGGCAAAAATTGCTACTGTGATGCATCAAAATGTAATCTGCCCTAAATTCAATCGATTTGAAGCTCAGGATGACCCACCAGAGAGGGGGAGGGGATCTTCCATTGGTGAATCGAGTTCTGGAACTATTTTTGTGTTGCAAAACTTCTGACTCGCGTGAAAGAAAAAATGTACTTTTTGAACAATGGTGAAAGTTGCAAAACACATTCCTCAGATTTCAGTGTGGCAGAAGACCAGGGAGGAGGAGCAAATCTAGACCAGGACTGCTTTTGCCCCATGAAACAGAAGGACAGATTGCTAGAGTGGCCTGTTATTGCTGGAGCGAAGTGTGCACAAGTTCGCAGGGCTGTGGTTTGTGTTCACTAAATGAGTGAACAGTGACAAGACTGGCTGATGTCCCTGCTCCACTTGGCTGAGATGGAGAGAACTGGCAGGAATATTTAAGTTTATGGGGAATGTGGCCTAACCTGGCTACTTGAGTAACTTGTAGTGTAGAATGGGGCAGGCACATCTGGGAACTGGGGAGTTCCCATTCCTCAGAGCTGCAGATGGGGGAACTTGTTCAACAGTCCCCATCAAGTGGAAGCCCTGCTGAAGCAGGACAGAGCTTCGAGATCCTTTTGCTTTTTTTAACCTTTAATCCATCAATAGAGGCATTAATCAAAAGGGTTAAAATTTGAGCTAAAGGAAGGTGGAAAGTGTTCTCACATGGAAAACAGAGGATAGTGAGGGATGGGTACCCCAGTCTCTGGGTGAGTCCTTGTGGGGAAACTGGGAGGAATGTGTGGCACGGAGCGTGGCCCTTTTCCTCTGTCACTCCCAGGGCTGCAGTTCTAACCCCTCCCTGCTCTGTCCCCCCCAGTCCCTCGAGAACAGCGGGGACCAGTCCCACAAGATGCCCACGGACCGCTGTGCCCGGCTCACCCTGGTGAGCGTGGCCAACGACGTGAAGGAGGCCTGGATCAGCGACCACCCCTACCTGGCCGTGTGCTACCTGTGGCAGTACGCGCCCACCTGGGCCTGGTGGCTCATGAACAGGATGGGCAAGAAGAGGATACAGAACTTCAAGAGTGGAATTGTGAGTGTGCAGAGTGCCCCTCCCTCCCCTGCTTGCTCGTTGCACACACTGCTGCTGTTCCCTTCTGCTGTGGGAATGTTTGTTGGGATTGCATTGCTCCTCAGTCACACTTAGAGCCCTGATCCTGCCCTGGGAGATGCTATTTATTCTTTTGGTACAAAAACCCCTCCCATCTCCAAGTACTGCAAGAACAGGAAGTACAAAAGTAAGGGTGGCACATGCAGCTTAAAACTTTGTGTATGGTTGTGTTCGAGGGTCCCAGGATGAGGGAAGAGATAAGAATCTTGACTCCATGTTTCAGAAGACTGATTTATTATATTATGATATTATATTAAAATGCTATATTGAACCTATACTAAAAAGAATAGAGAGAAAGGATCCATCAGAATGGTGGAAAGGTAAGAAATGATAACAAAAGCTCACGACTCTCAGAGAGTCCAACACAGCTGGATCTTTGATTGCTTATTAAGTAGAAACAATCCACATGGACCAGTCACAGATGCACCTGTTGCATTCCACAGCAGCAGATAGTTGTTGTTTACATTTCTTTCCTGAGGCTCCTCAGCTTCTCAGGAGAAAATCCTATCGAAAGGATTTTCATAAAATACGTCTGTGACACTTCGTGCTTTCACACTGTAACTGCCCATGGTCACAAGGTGTTTCAAAGGAAGTCTTGCACTCACAGTGTTGTTTTTAACACAGGGTGGGGAAATACTGATTTAATGTCCTCTCCCTCCAGGATGCTGATGCCTCTTACTCAAGGAAGAGGAAGTAAGGACGAGCGTGTAAGAAATCCTGCTGTACTTGTGTTAAGGCTGAGAAACTTTTCATATTGCATGACTGCAAACAACAGCTTTTTTTGGTTTTGTTATGTCTCTGTCATCCTGTAACTCGACAGATCTACCGAGCTGATGACATACTTGACTAAATAAAAATCTCTTTCTAAACACACCTGTTTCATGTCAAACTCCCACAGGCTGAAGTTTTAAGCTTACAAGGACTGAAACACTCAAGAGGCTGGGCTGCTGCTCTGACATGGGCAAATACCTGGTGAGCAGCCTAAAATGACAGACCCCAGGATCCTTTTCCCCTCACTTTCATTCTTAATTCATGTTGATTAACAAAAGCCCACAAGAAGAAGGGTGTGGTATCGAGGGTAGGGGTGTCTGGTCTGTGCTTGGGATGTGTTCCTTGTGCAAAATGTGTGTTCAGGGCTAAATCCTTTCATTTCTGACACAACATCAGGACTTACCCTCTGGCCCCCTTCTCAGCTCTGCTGCCCTTACACTGCCCTGTGTGTGATCAACATCACAGTCTAAAGCAAGGAGGTGTCGGGAAGAATTAAACAAAGCTCTGCACACACCTGGTTAGAAGACAGAGCACTTCAGGGGTCACAGTGGGTCCCAAGCTCAGTCCCATTGCTGGGAGCAGGATGCCATCAGTAATCCCAGCAGCAGCCTGTGAGCACAGGCAAGGCCAGGGCTGAAGGTGCTCCAATTCCTGATTCCAGATAACTCAAAGATACGCTCCAAACCAAACAGGCCATGGTTCAAGAACACACAAGCACACCAACTGAACAGGGGCACTCAGCTGCACAGATCTGTGAGACAGAACAAGCAGCTTTATCTCCTGTTTCTGCCAAAAGCAGGATGCAGGCAGGTTTAAGGTGGGGGTACCGTGCCTCAGGGCTGTGAGCGCCCTGGGCTGTGCCAAGGGAATCTGGTGTGGGACACGCTGCCTGTGACAGCAGGGGACAGGATGTGGCAGGGCAGCACAGCCCAGCTCCACAGTCCTGTGCTCCAGCAGGAACTCTGCCCATTGCTAATTGTGCTGCTCCATCTGGTGCCAGTCAGGATCTCTGCTGGAACACTGGGCCCAGTTATCAGCAGCTCTCCTCAAGGCTGGGGACCAGATGGACAGAAGCCAGAGAAAGGAAGGGAAAAGGATCACAGCTCTCTTCAGCTTTTTCTCAACTGGTTTATTCAGTTTACAAAAGACAAAGTATGAGGGCAGAAATTACAGCCTTCTTTGAGTAAGGACTGCTGCAAAAAAAGATAATTAAATTTTCTGTGACCATACGGAAGACAAGTAGTAAGAAATTTACAATGAGGCAAGGGAGGGTTAATTAGATTTAGGAAACAGCTCCAACTTTCCAGCTGCTGCAAGACTGGAGTGAACTGCTTGAGGAGTTCATGACACTCCTCACCTTGGAAGATTTAAATCAGAGTAAACATTTTCCTCCTTGTGAGAGGGAGCTGAAATAGGTGCTCTCTATAAGCCCCTTCCACATCACTTCCATGGCTCTGTATTTCCAGATGCAGCTCAGGGCCCAGCATAGCACCAAACCTGCTTTGGAAACCCACTACACCACTTGCATAGTTTTTAAAAACCATTTCTGGCCACTATCTAAAGGAACAACCAGCAGCCAAGTACAAGGTTCTGTGGCAAATTTCATATGAGACAAAAGGTCTTAAAGGTGAGAAGTAAAAGTAATAAATGGGCTTGGACTCAGACAAGGGTGGGTGTTCCAAACCAGTACTGCTTCAGTTATGGAGCAGGTCTGATTTAAATTGATTCTGTAGGAGTAGGAAATACAATTACCTACTCCCTGCTCAGCATTTGCCTACAGTGTAACCATGGAATTGCTGAGAAAACACAGTTCTGTGCTAAGACTGGTGGTAGTGAACAGGATAAATGAGCCACTGGAAACTGGACCTGGACCTGTTTTCAAGGTAATGTTACAAACCAGCTGTCCAGGTCTGCTCCAGCTGTAGTGAGGTTAAAAAAACAAATAGTTCTAGCTGGATTTTCACCCACTCCCCATCATGAAGCTCTCACTGCATTTGTGGAAGACCGGTTAGGGAGGTGGAGAGAGGTTGAAAGTAACAACATATATATACAGATGTATATAATATATATCATATATATGGAGACTGGAAGAAGGAGATGAAATCATACCATTTGTTCTTAAAATTTCCTCTGTCCCCTAATTATATACATTTACTTCTTTCATCAATAAAGTCACCCAGGCTATCAATGTGTCAGCACACACTGGTTAACATACATTCTTTTTACCAAAACAAGTAGTTTGGTAAAAATTGTCCCTTGGAATTCATTTAAAGCATGGCTGATAATTTACTACATGTAAGGAAGATCAAGTGAAAGTCATATAACAAATGCTAGAACTGAACTCAGTCCAATATAAAATGGCCACAATAAAAAAAATTCATATAAATAGTCCTATGTACACTTTGGTTGCCAACTCTGGGGTTGACAACACTACAAGAAGCTGTAACCTGACTGGCAGTGCAAGTCACCTGTCCAAAGGAAAAAAAAAAAAGTAAAAATAAATCAGTATGCACCAAAAATAGTTAATGATCGGAATTATGGTAATGATAAGAATTATGTTGCTTTTCTTTAAGCTGGAGAAGAGAATTTCAGCATGTGGCTCATCAGCCACACGGGCAATGGTGTCTTGTGTTCCAGCAGCAAGCAACCAGTCCCCAACTTCCTGCCTGCTGAAGGCTCTGGCCAGCACCAACCCCTGTACCCAGGACATGCACTGCCCTGGTGCCACCACCCTGAGAGTAACACCTGATCCGTAGCACACAAGGGAGCGTGGACATTTGACTGCAACACACGGAGGAAAAAGACAAACCAGTGACAGCCACAAGTGACAAGAGGACAGCCTAGAAGAGAGGCAGCTGCAGGAGCTGCGAGGAGTAGACGGGGTAGCCCAGGGGCGGGTCGGCCGCCTGCACGGTCAGGTTGCGCAGCAGGGCCGGGTGTGCCTGGATGCTGTAGCGCTCCTCGTCGTCGTTGGTGGCATAGAGCAGCTCCCAGGACAGGTTGGCCCACTGGCCTCGCACAGCTTCAGCGTTGAGCTTTCCCACCTGGACTAACAGCTCCTGCAGAGTGAGGACTCGCCCCGTGTAAATTCCCTGCAAGAACAAACAGATCAGGATGTCCAGTACATGGTCCGAGAAGAGATGAGGGCATTTTTGGTTACAAAGCACTGAGGGAAGCTTTGGGGCTGCACTCTGTGAACACTTTAAACACAGCAAGTATAAACCAGTGCCCTCAGTTCGGTGCCTCCACTGGAATATAATCAGGAAATATTGCTGCATCTGAAGAACAGTGCAGTGGGGTTTTCAACAACAGTGGTGCCAGTTCCTCTTCAGTACAAACCAACCTTGCAGAGCCTTCATGTTTTAGAACATAATTACAAGGGGGGAAAAAAAAGAACAGTGAAAAAGAAACCCAAACTTTGACCTAGTGATTTTTCTCCTTACCATGCTTGGGTCATGCCCCAGTGAGAACAGGTATGGCTTTTCCTGCAGGACTGCTTGCTGCCACTCCAGGTCTGACACCAGCCCAATGTACCAATCGCTGTCATATTCCTCCAGGTAATTCACCAGCTCTTCGAAGTTCTCCACTGGGCCCAGGCTGGCTTTGTCCAGCATAAGTTTAAAGGTGTATCTGAAAGGTGCAGAACATCACACAGTCAGTGTGGCAAGGACAGGAGGGAGAAAGGCTCTTCAGGCCACAGAGGGTGGAGAGGCTCCACCAACTCTGTCAGTCACTGCCTGCCAGCTGAGTCACTGCCAGTCAGTCTGGCTGTGCTTTTAGCTCACCCACATGTAAAACACATCAGCTTAAACACCTCTCATTCACCTCCAACACTTCCTCACTGCCTGATAATGGTTAGTGCCAAATACCTAAATCCAGCACAACTGAGATCTGGGGTCAGTGAAAACAGGTTGTTTTCCCCCAGTTAACACAGCAGATTGGAGGCAGCTGCTGTGGAGAAGAAAGAAGAACATCCCTACCACATACCAGGCAGTACTTATATAGGAAAAACCTACAAATAAATTTAAACTATATGGGTTTAACAAACCATTAATGAAGTGACACTTCTCTACATAAATTTCTAATCTCAGGAAATGTTTTTCTTTTACCTGAATGCTTTTAATGCCAGCTGGAAGAGCTCAGGTTTGCCTGTTAGCCAGTCCAAGCCGGCAGACCAGGGAATGCCACCGGTGTACGCCCTGAAGACGTGGCGAGGGGCGGGCACGGCGTTATCCAGGCCAAACAGACCAAAGCAACACGACAGCACCCCGTGGATGTACAGGTCTTTCAGAGCTTTATCTTTCATAAGGTCTGTGAGTAAACTGGAAGGCTTCTCTTTCAGATGAAAAAAGTCCAGTTGGCTCAAAACAAAGTGGTACCATTCCTCTGGAAACCTCTGCCTCATTTCACTGACTTTGGAAGAAGGCACTGGTGCTGTTCTCCATTCTTCAGGGATGCTCAGCAGCTCTGAGTAAGAGCAACTGAATTCTACATGAGGTAAAACTTCTGGCTGTTTCCCTTTGTCCACAGCAGGCAGCCCAAGCACCACAGCCCTGTTTAATTTATCTTCTGGAGATATTTCTTGTAGGAAATCTTGGCTCTGTGTTTCTATAGACCCTGGAATAGACAGGTGCACTTTTGGTGTCAGTCTCAACTGCCCAGGTTCTTTTCTGTCTCTTGTTCTGCTACTGGGCTCAAAATCAAAAATGTCACTATCATCAGTCCAGTCCTCCACTGTATCAACACTAAAGCTGTCTTCTTCCCTCAGAGCTCTGGATCCTTTCACTGCACCGCTATGCTGGTTTTCTGGAAATGATCCTTGTTTGTTCTTGTTGGCACTGCCTGGGCTTTCCCACGTCTTGGATTTTTTGTAACAATACTGGACAAGCATCCATACAAGCACTTTAACAAAATCATCTTTCAGGTGCTTTAAATTCTCATGGGAATCAATTATTCCAGATAACACATTCCTGGCATCAGAATACAGCCGCACAGGAACCACAGTACAGGGAGTCAGGATGTGTCCAAAATGGGGATTGGGAGACAGAATCCTTGCGTGCTCCTGATGTTCAAAGGCCATTTCAAAAATTTCATCCACTCTGTGAGCTTCAGCAGCATGGCAGGATGTTTCCTGCAGTTCTAGCCCCTAAAGCACACATGAAAACAGCTTCCTGTTAGTCTTCACCAGGACATAACTTTAAATGCTAGCACGCTGTTTGCATGCAACAGAATAATTCTGAACAAGATGATTGTCAGTATTTCCACAACTGAATCTACAAATCTGTCTAGAGATAACAGCAATAACAAAGCACTCACTGCAATATTAGTCACAGATCCATGTCTTAAATAAATCTTTGCCTGATGCAGCCTTATTAGCCAGCTTATTAAAGATATTCTGTCACAAGCTAAATGATAAAAAAATTCACATCTGCTACTCATGTAAATTGCAAGACTAATTAGTATAACACTCATCTTAGAAAATTAAATGTAAATCAGTTACACTGCTGAAATGTTACACAGCAAAATGTCTGCACTATTTCCAAACATCAAGAGCTCAGTGCTCAGCATGCAATTACCTTAATGTTAACACCACAGTATGTGAAGCCCTTTTCCAGCACCAATATCCACATCAGCCTGTCCTGAAAGCGGCACAAGTAATGCGACCCAGGCAGAGAGAGACCTAGGCAAGGAAAAAACCAAACAAAACCTACATATTACCTTTTCTACATGCCAATGAAAGGAGCCAACAGCAAACAAAATATTTCTGCATCAGCATCGCAGTCAGTTAACACTGGCTATCCAGCACCTTAGAATCTTGAAAAAATTGGCTGAAATTGCAGCTTAAAAAAGCTGTGGAAAGTTGGAAAACCTCACACAACTGCAGGACTACATTATTCACACCAGACCAGGGTTAAACAGCTCCACCCTCAATTCCCTTTGCAGAGATGACTTTCATGATTAAGGATCATTTTTTGGCTGCATTTCCAACCACATAGTTCCCATTGGAGTGTTCTCTGGAGACCTAAAGTCCTCCTTACTGAGAATACATTAAAGAACCATTATATAGCACAGGAGTTTCCTAATGGCCCAATTTGCTGTGGAGTAGGAAGTTTATTTGTTATTAGAGAAAGAAAAATATAACTGAACTGGAATTTGAAAATCAGGTCCTGAACAACAGCAAATTAGTACTCAAAAAAAACCCCAAAAAACCAAACCAAAACCAAACCAAACTTTTTAACTTTTTCTTTTTTTTTACCTGTCACAAAAAGAGCAATGCCAAATTTCCTAAGAACTGGTGGTTATACTTTATTTGAACTACAGCTGAATGTCAATCCTCATAACACAATGGTTCTATTCTTAAGCATGACATTTGCTGCCAGTTTATGACCTGCTTCTGCTGTCACTCACGTCTGGTGACCACTCACTTGCAGAACATTTTCGTTTTAAAATGTTGTAAGGTGAAATCAGTGAAACCAACCATTAAGCTGTAGTTAAAATTTAAGTAACCTTTTCTATTCCACTGAGCTAATGAAGTGCATTTTCTTGCTAACATTTTGCAAAGACTTTAATTCCTTTCTTGCTAGCAGTTAAAACTACTAAAACTCCTTTACACAGAAAAAACTATGAGTTTAAATTAGTGACACACAAAGTGGTATCACTTCCTTTTGAACTCATCTGAGAGCACCAGTTTTTCTTGCTTCAAGACATTCATTCACAGATTTTCCCATTAAAGAAGAGACTTTTTACCCCTCAAGACTAGTGTTTTAAATTATTTACTCTAAGGCACACAAGCCACCACAATCAGGATGGGAATGGGGGAGAAAAAAACCCTATTAAAATATGCACATATATATATATATAATATAGATAGACATAAGATATGGATAACATATATATATATGACAGATAGCTATATATTATAATAGTAAATATATCTATTGTAAACACAAAACATAATGGACTAATACAGTAGACAAACTGAAGTACCCTTCTTTAGAGAAAAAAAGACTTCCAGGTTTTCTTGAGTACCTCTCTCTAACCAGTGATGAAAGTGCAGCACATATTTCCTAGTAAAGCCCCTAGATATATTCTTCAGAAAAGCATGATTAAGGTTAACTTCCACTGCCTTCAACTATTAGGCCACTTTTTCCAGCCATAAGCCAGCCATTTTCTAAGAGGGTTATGTAAATATTTGCCTCTTGTCTAAGGGCTACAATCTTCTGATTATTTAGGTTACACAAAGATTGTTTCTCAAGAAAATGACCTTGCAATTTTAAAACAGTTACTCTGTCTCCAGCTGGGAAACAGACCAGGCATTTCTTCACCTCTGTCTCTGTAATTCTGTGAAAACCCCATCACAATGCCTTTACCAGGCTGTAAACCCAAGAGTGCTGCTACAATCCCACCCCAACTGCCTGCACAAGACAAGACATTAAATTTTATCAACAGGATTGTTCTCAGCTGTTTAGTGCTACTTAGGCTACACCATGTATTTCACAAACATCCAGTCAATATTCACCATAGCCAATTAACACAGCCAAATTAGCAAAGTCACTTTCTGGATGCTGAGTAATGGGACAGACAGACCTGCAGAGAGCAGTGTGACACACATCCTTCTCTATGCTGTCTGGCTAAAGAACCCAATTTACTGCCTCCAGTTAGCTGGGATCAATGCATTCCATCCTTTTTATTCAGTACAGAAAGATTAGGATTGATACTGTTTCACCACCATTTAGTCACTCCTTTAAGGTAACAAAATAATTATTTTTTTAAAGGATTGTAATGAGTAGACTTTGTAGAATCATCAGCTGGAAAAGATCTCCCAGGTCATCAAGCCCAGCCTTTGACTGAATACCACCACCATGTCTGTGAAACCATTTCACAAACTGCTACATCTACTTGTTTCTTGAATGCTCCCAGGGATGGTGACACCCTGGGGAGCCTGTTCCAACGCTTAACCATTTGTCCAGTCAAGAAATTTTCCCCAATATCCAACCTGAACCTCCCCTGCTGCAATTTGTAGCTGTTCTATTCTATCCTTCCCCTTTGTCCTGTTTGTATTGTTGGTTGCACAAGAAGGATAAAAGTAACCACTTTATCCTGAGCAATCTCTGAGTATCAGAGTTTCACGCTGTGAAACATGGTTTTCTGTCACGGATTCTCCTCCACTGGGAGGAATCTGATCCCAAGGGGTTTCAGGACATTGGGAGGGATCTGATCCAAATGGTTTTAGGGCCTTGGGAGGGATCTGGTCCAAATGGTTTTGGGGCCTTGGGAGGGATCTGGTCCAAATGGTTTTAGGGCCTTGGGAGGGATCTGGTCCAAATGGTTTTGGGGCCTTGGGAGGGATCTGGTCCAAATGGTTTTAGGGCCTTGGGAGGGATCTGGTCCAAATGGTTTTGGGGCCTTGGGAGGGATCTGGTCCAAATGGTTTTAGGGCCTTGGGAGGGATCTGGTCCAAATGGTTTTGGGGCCTTGGGAGGGATCTGATCCAAATGGTTTTAGGGCCTTGGGAGGGATCTGATCCAAATGGTTTTGGGGCCTTGGGAGGGATCTGGTCCAAATGGCTTTGGGGCCTTGGGAGGGATCTGGTCCCAAGGGTTTCAGGGCATTGGGAGGGAGCTGATCCCAAGGGTTTCAGGGCATTGGGAGGGAGCTGATCCCAAGGGGTTTGGGTGGAAAACCACGTTTCCTGAAGCATTTAGCTGCAGTATTTCAGTGCTGCCTGTACATACCCAGGCCGCCGGCCGCCAGCGCCGACTGCAGCGCCGCGGCCAGGCCGGGCACGAGCTGCCGGTAGTACACGGTGTCGGAGCAGACGCAGGCGGTGCCGCCCGCGGGGCCCGGCCAGCTCCGCAGGGGCCGGGGGAAGCCCACCAGGAACACGGGAAGCGTGAAGAGCGGCAGCAGGGGCGAGGAGAGCAGCGCTGAGACGGCCACCAGGGCCAGCAGGACGGGGGAGAAGGCGAGGTTGAGCGCGATCAGGGCGGCGCTGGATCTGCGGCGCTGCTTCTTCTCCGTCCACGAGGTCAGCAGGATGGCGACGGCGAAGTGCAGCTTGGAGAGGAACTGGAACAGCCGATCCCGCAGGAGACCGACCTGCGGCACAGGGGCGGGAGGCACACGGTTTGTAGCCTGTGGCACACTCAGCACAGCTACAGTAAGTTTATGAAAATGAAGCATGGTTATCATTGCTTGGTGTGGGGATATATCTTAGTACAGATTTTAGCTTTTATCTGTGGGTCCTGGCCCCTGTTGTAATGCTCCAACAGAAACAGAGACTTCAGATAACAATTAGCAGCTTAATTGTATATTATGACCATTACCAGCAAGAGTTTGATTCCTGTATCAAGGCTCCTGTTCCACCAGAGGTCTGGATTAAACACCAACATTTGTGCTGCTGACACAACCACCATGTCTAGTAAGGCATTTTCTGTATTCTGCCAGACCTAAAATAGAGGTATGTTAGAAACACATTAAAAAACATATCTATTTATCTCTGCTTTCATGACCTGGAATATTTCTTCCAGGTCACTTTGGCTCTCAAGTCATCTAGAAGAGCATTTCTAAGGCTTCATATTTAAAATTCAAATTACCATCCTAAACATCCTTGTGAATCCAATGGAAACAGACACGGAATGCAGGTTCTGTAGCGAATGGTCAAGTGACAGGAAGGCTATCATAGCAAATGGAGACACTGCAATTGAAATAAAAGAATCACTGATCTCCTTCCAAAATCACAACAAAAGTCAACAGAGGTAAGCAGTCTTATTGCAGCATGGAAATCCCAGCACAAAAATAGAAACTTTCCCTTCATCATCACAAACTCCTCTTTGTATTACACTCCCACGATATCAAACTATTTATTTGCACTAATGGCCCAGGACAACAAACATTTAAATCAATGCTTAGTTCTTACTTGCTATTAGTTCTTTTATTCTTTATTTATTTCTCCAAGAGAATACTCAACTAAGTAAAAAAAAACCACCATGGAATAGCAGTCATCAATGTATTTCCCCAAACTAAGGCTTCTTTATGAAATTAAATAATTTAAATAAATTTTTATTCCCTCAAAGTAGATGGATTTGTCTCTAACCTACCAGAAAGGAGGCTCTTCAATTTACTCGCAAGCCCTAAGAACCAAATATTTAGTCAGCTTGAAGACTTTAAACAAATTTTGTTTCCAAGTACATCTTTTCAAAAGTGGGTACTGGAGTTGTAACTAAAATCCTTTAAAAGATCCTGCTTTTTCAGCTGGGCTTTTAAAAGGCTCAGTTTTTTAGGTTCACCCCTATAAAATAAATAAATCAAATCACTTTCAAATATGCTGAACCAGTAACCTTGACCTCAATGCACAATTTAACAAGATATCAACAAATATTTCCAGCCACTTGGTTTCCCTTGGTTCATTCCCAGAATCTTGCACACACAGCAATTCTAGAGTTTCAATCTCCCTACAAGCATCATCTAACAAACAACAGACAGTGGTGTATTCCTACCTAGTGTTAGTAAAATCCTCCTGACAACACCAACTTTCATTAGCCTTCTTTGCTTCTCCATGAACACAGCCACAGTCCTGACATCCTTTGGGTAAAAGGGGTTTCGGAAGACTCCAAACAAGTACACTCTCTGAATCTCTCTAAGAATCCACATAATTACAAGTAATAGGATCAGAATGTAACTTGCTATGGCCTGGGGACTGGCTTGGGAAAATGATGAGGAGCCTGCAAATTGATGCAGCAGGCCCGCTTCTGTGAGAGCAAACGTCAACACAGTCACGTAGAAAATAAATTCCCTCCACCCAAATTGTATTCTAAGACCTCTGTGAGTATTTTTAGATTTGCTGGAGGCTAAATGGCTGATCATGGTGTGTTTGAAGGCAAACCCAATCTCACTTAGGTTAAGACTCAGTATGAACCCAAATCCAGTCATGAAGAGGATCACACCGAGGGGGCTGGGAATGAAATACGATGCTATTGCTGTTCCAGCAGAAATGAGAAACATTACTAACAACCTGTGAAGGAGAAAATAAAGAAGATTTGCTTGAAAAGAAAAAGGTTATAAACAATACTGATATATTTTACAATTTTATAAACATTTACTTTGTGTTACTTGACATAGGTGAACCTCCTAGTCCAAACTCCAACAGTTGTTCCATTCCCCAGAGAAAAAGCGCATCAAGCGGGGGCAGAATTCCCATTGCCCACAAGAATGGCAGAAAAAGAAACAGGATGTGCAAAATCTGGTTTGTCTGCTCTAGGATGGGTGAGTTGGCAGCAAACCTGGATAAAAGAAGAAATGGATTTGACTTCTGTGAAGGGAAAAATAACTTCTGTGTGGGAAGTTATTTACTACAGCAAATCCCAAAGTAAAAACCTTACACATTCAACCTATAAAACCCAATGAGTATCTTTTAAAAGGAAAAAAAAGGGACATATTTATGCTTGGGACAGTAAAACATTAATTAGAGCACCAGAACACGGACTAAATTTTCATTTAAAAGATTTGAAGCCTTCAGATGAATACAGTGATGCAATTATCCCAATTATTTTTGTTATTGTTGTGATAATACACGAAAAAACACTTGTGCAAAAAGGAAAGGTCCACAGGCTCCAAAGCCTCAACTGTTTAACAAAAAATTGTAAAGTATTTTTTTCAGAAACACAAAAGCAAATTTTTATTCAATTTTAAGGCCCAAGATCTAAGCTTTAACACTGGAAGAACTGACATGTTGCCATTACACATACAGATAATATTGTATATTCCTAAAGAGGGTTTATTTCTACATAAGAATGGCAAAATCTTCCTGCAAAAATACAAAGATCAGTATTAGAAATTTGCATAAATTCTAACCCATATGTAGTTTACCAGTTAAAGGTGGTAGACTGCCAAGATATTTGGTTTCTCTCTCCTTTTTAATAAGTAAGCAAGCCTCAGAGGAATTTTATCAGGAATTTCGATAATGTCTTAATCTTCTCCTCAGGAAACTGAATAGAAGAATTTGGAGTCCAAGACCACATGTATAATTCTCATACCTCACCTGAAGTGGTAATTAGGGTAAATCATTAACAAAGACATCTCCTAGTGCAAAACTAGCAAATTCAAACATGTTTTTTTCTAAAGTTACCCACCCAAAAAACATGTACATGTGACAAAGTGCTACAAATATCACCTGACAGGGAGAAAGAATGCAGAGAGTAAATCTAAAAGCATCTTGTTTTAGGAGCCTGAAACTACAAATACTTCAGCTAAGACACTCATCTGAAAAACAGAAATGTGACTCTCCTAATTTGTAGACTGACACAGCTCTTTCATACTGGAAAAGCATTTAAAAACCCAAGTTCCAAATCTGTATCACAAAGCCACAGCAATATTCCCATTTGCTTATCCATTCATTAAAACCAAATTCAGAGGTTTTTGGGTTTCTTTTGTTTTGTTTTTGCCTGTTGTATAAAAGCCTCTGCTATCACTTTACAGAGCTTAAAGTAGAAAGTATTCCAGGATGAAATCTGGACATAAATCCAGTAATCCTGAAGCTTGCAGTCTTCAGATTTATGATTCCAGGCCAGGAACATGTGTTTTCAAAACACATCCTTTAAAAGGATATATTTGCAAATGCTCCAATAAAAATATGAAAAATGACATGGTAGAAGATAGAACAGTTTGTAAGTAAGGGATAACTTTTACCTTTCTAGTTTACATGGAATGCAATAAAAATTTAAGAGCCTTTTATACACAGCACAGAACCACAATTTTTATCATATATGCATCAATCTTCTTCCTTTGAAGTTACTACTTCCTTTGAGTTGATTAGAATCTCAAAATAAATTTTCCTCAGAAGAATAACTTAATTTAACCTTTCCCTTCAAAAATACACCATATACAAATATATAAAATACACAAGAATAACCATCACTTTAAGTGGCCAAATGCATTATTACGTTTACCTGTGTGCAAGATCCACTGCAATAAAGACAAAAATGTAGAAAGGTCTCATCAGAGCAGTGATTTCATAAGTATCCAGTGCTTGGAAAGTGGCTGTTTCGGTGGCTGTGTTTATGATTAATGAATACTCTCCTATACATATGGTCACCCATCCAAACACAAAGATCACAACAGTTCCTCCAATGTTGCTATATAACAAGGTTATTCTGTTTGGCAGCAAATACCAAGTCCCCAGCCCACACAATACCCCTGCCAGGAGGGAATGGAATACAGTGTTGATTATGTACTTCTTGCCAGGAATAATAAATTTTACTGTCTCTGAACCTACACAGCTGGAAAATTCAAACTCATCTTCATCTGTCAGGGTATTCTGAATTTGCATTCTTTCTACTGTCACTGTTTTCTGCTTTGCATAGAGGTTTGTCATCTGAAGAGCAAGTGCAGTAACAAACATGAGTCCTCCCGACAGCGCTGCGGTGCAGAAGTCCTTCATCACTCCCAGCTGGTACAGGAGTGTTCCCACTCCTCCCCAAAGCCATGGTGTCAGGAAAAGGATGATCTGGTTCACATAGACGTAAGGAGGGGCACAGTAGCCTAATTTGAACCTGGGACCTCCCAGCACAGTCTGAGGGAAGCGCTTCAAGAAGAACTCCTGCTTGTAGTCATTGAGCAGGGGTACATCTGGCCCCATCCTGGTGGCTCAGGAATGCTGGCTGGGGATCATCTTTCCTGTAGGAGACCAGGAAGGAATACATGGACACATTACTGATTCTGGAACTCAGAACCCAGGGAATTCTTGTGTCTTCTTTTTATTTACTAAGCTACAGTGGAATTCTGACATGTTGCTGTTAGAATTTCCCAGAATACAGCTAATAAGCAAACATCTACTTTAAAATGTGAACACACTCTTTCATCTGAAGGTTGCAAATAAAAATAGACAACCTGTTCTTGGGAGATGACAAAACCAACCCATCTCCCCATCAGAATACCTTCCTAAAACTGACATTCTTCCCACTTAATCTGATTTCAATCACACCTTGCCACAGACCTCCAATTCCAAATCCTGTTAAGGATCTCTGTACACAGAGTCTGTGATTCCAGGGAACAGTCACACAAATGCAGAGACTCAGGCACACCGAGGTCCTGTAAAAAAAAAAAAAATTAAAGCTTTATGGAATAAAGCTTTTTCTACATAAATATGTTAAAGTATGTAAGTAGAAGTATCACAAATTGTTTTCCACATCAGCATTTTTACCGTCCTCCCTACACAGCCCAGTTGCAGGACAGGATCTCACCGTAAAGTAAAATAAACAGTTCACTTTCTGCTTCCTAAAACATATAAAATAAAAAACCACCCCAAACACAATACTTGTGAGTTGTAGCAGAATTAGCACATATTCTTCTTGGTGCCAATGGAACAAGCTGAAAGAAAGGAAAAAAAGATACCTGTAGACATTTACAACGACCCACCAAACAGAAGTAGGTTTGAATACTCATTCAGAGAGGATCAGGCAATGTAGAAACAATGAATGTAAGATGATAACTATGATATTCAAATATAATTCTATGCTACTACTCATGAAAGCAAGAATCTATGAGTGACAGGCAGAAATACTCAAACTAAGAAGTAGGGTGGAAAAAACAGCACCAAAAAAAGGAATGCCAATGTCATTAATAATAACTCTAAAAAAGAGATGGTATGCATTAGGAAATGTGCAAGGACAGAAGTTCTGACTTTCTTCCACTGGACCTGTACAATCTGATGAATACCCATTGCCATCACTGGTGAGACACTAAAAATTAAACATCTGGCTGCCACAGAGTCCTCAAACTATTGTGATCCCTTTTTTCTACAATACCAAACATTTCTGAGCCCTTCTGAGAACAACTCACCCCATTTATTTAAACAGGTCTCAGTCACTTGATTGTTGGTAGATGCTGATCATTGGGGAATGAAGTTGGAAACAGTGAAAATGAGATTTTATGCAGTATCATGACTGAAAATTTACATTCTACATCCACTAAGTCAATACACTCCATCATGGAAAACAGGACCCCACAGGCTTTGTAACTACTCTTCATGTAGGCTGTGAATTTTTAATTTTTTAAAAAAATAAAATATTGAAAACACAGGTGTTTTGGTCCTACTGTTTTAAGCCACTGAAAGTTTCTTAAATGTAAGGAGAAGGCAGCAGTCAGTCCTACTGGAACTAATGGAAAAGATACATGTTGACAATGGAGAGGGGAATTCATCCCACTCAGCTCAGGAATTTGAAAATGTAACAGTGACACACCCAACTAAAAACAAATTTCAAATGTAATTATAAAATATCACAATTGAATCAATCTTCTTTAGCAAAACAAGCCCTGTTTAGAGGGTGCATGGGCGTGGAGCTTAAGTTGCTGGGATAGTTACATGCAGTAGAAGATTTATAGGCATGGAAATGACAGAAGCTGAGTTTAAAAAGAAAATATAGAATCAATAGGTGCGGAGTTTTCCTTGAAAAACAGTTTTTGGGCATTGTTTTTCTGCTTTCTGAGAAGCTATTTTTCTTTCACGTTCCAGTCTGCATTTGTGTTTGTCAGTTTATATTGCTAACCAAATGTTAACAAAACATTCCTCTTACAGTTTCTGTGTAAACAATAGGCATCTTTGTGTGAGACACAAGAAGCCACACACATAAACAATATAGTTCCACTTGCCTCTGCTCCAAAACGAGCCATAAAAAGAGGTGAATTTATTTGCTGAAGCTCACTAACTATGGAAACTCTTCCCTCTGCTGTTCTCCTGGCTTCCCAGTACTCAGGTAGCACGTCAGGACTTCAAAGAGGGACTCATCCACGTCTTATTCCTGTGCAAAGCCCTAGCAACAAGGCTCCACGCATTTGTGAGTGTTTACAGGACCTGGCTTCAATACACATTCCTGACATACAGGCTTGGCCCCACTTTAATAACTTGCCTGGATACCCAAACAACCCCTAACACAACAGTCTGTCATCACCAGGGGGGATCCGTGCCACTTGGATACTATCACAGCAAGGATGGAAAAAAGGGCTTTAACACCATAAAGGCACTTCACAAGTTTTCCCTGCAATAACCTCGTTATGCCCTTATTACAAAGGGAAAAAACCAAACTCCACCACAAATTCAGGCAGGAATTCACAGGAAGGCATGATTTTTTGTCTAAACGAACACCATCCTTCACGTGGGCCGATGCTGGATCAGCTGAGTTTAGTTTACTTTTATTTTTAGCAGATTACAGAATATGTGCACAGCTGTCTGCCACCTAAGCAGCTGAAACACAGAGCTTAAAGATCCTTTCCTCGGTGGTCTTGCAGGTGTTTAAGGGTAGGGGTTACAAAACACCTGCTAGCCAAGCTGGAGATGATAAGGGAGGTGAAGGGGAGGCTGTGGCATCCCCTTCACCCCTGCCCACCTGCGTGCCCACACACCTGGATAAAGATTCCCTGGAGGAACATCCGTGGCTAAAGACCCCACTGTGCTGCAGGCCAGCTTCCAGCCAGGAGCCAGGCAGAACAGGCTGCGAGCCCCTGCTCAGCAGTGTTGACTCCATTCCCCAGGGGAGATAGCATTTTAGGACAATGCATCCCATCCCGTCACGGGATGAGCATCCCGGGATCACCTTTGCGAAGGGTCGCTGGCCGCCTCCTCCCGAGGCACCTCTGCCCCGGACCAGAGGGGCTCCCACCTGGGCCACCACGCTTCCCACCCACCCAGCTCCCCTCACCTCTTCTGCAGGCACTGAACAAAAACACCCAACACCAAGCGGCTACAAAAAACACCTCTGCGGTCTCCGGAGGAGAAGGGCCGGGGGGCAAACCCGCGGCAAGGAACCTCGGCGGGGATAGCACCTACCTGTGGCCCGGGCTCGGAGCGGGCAGGGGGCGGCAGGGCACGGGGCCGAGCCGGCGCTGGGAGAAGGAGGGGGAGGATGGCGGAGCGTTCCCGTTCTCTGCCCGCCCCTTTTTCCCGCCCCTCAGCCGCCGCCGCCATTTTGCCCGCCTGAGGCCGGCGGTGGGGAGCGCTGCCTGCGGGAAATGGCTCCGGCCAGCCCCGGCTGCACCTCGGGTACCGCAGCGCTGAGGGGCCGCGGTGCTCCCGCTCCCTCACGGCGGGCAGGGCCCCGCAGCACGCCAGAATGGATCCGGGGGGAAAAGACCTCTGGCATCATCGAGTCCAGCCCATGGCCGAGCACACGGTGCCAGTCAGAGCACGGCGCTCAGTGCCCGGCCAGTCTCTAACACCTCCGGGAACCCAGACTCCGCCGCTTTTCTGGCCAGCCCATTCCAGTGTTTAATCTTCATTCCTGGAAGAAATTCCTCCAATGTCCAATTTCCCTCCCCTGGTACATCTTCAGACTGTGTCCTCTCATCCTGTCCCTTGTTACCTGGAAGCAGATCCTGATTCCCACTTGGCTTCACCCTCCTGTCAGGGAGATAAAGAGAGCGAGAAAGTCCCCAGAATTCTGACATCCTAACAGAATACCCCCAAAAGTTCCCCAAATCTTGACTATTAATGGCATTTATGTATTAACTAATTGAAGACACAAACACTGTTTTTAGCCTCAGAACCAAATTAATTCTGTTTTCTTCTAGGTTAAGTCAAATTAAGCATTCAGTGGCGAGCTGAAATAGAAATCCAAATACTGCAGTACCCCTTCAAATTATGCCTGTTAAACATCGAGAATATTTAGCAGAGTCAGCATGCATGCATTTTGGGTAAGGTGTAATTCATATCTAATAAAATTAAAATGTATAATTCAGTGTATCAACACCAGGGCACACATGTCTACCTTAATACCTGTTTGAACAATCACCACGTAGATAGTTAGAAACAGTTATATCCGTTTTAATATGAGTATGTCATTTAACACACAAGCATGTGCTGGGAATTTTAGACAGAGAATTGACCGCAAGTAGTTCTTATCAGAAGCATCATAACCTTTTTGTAGATGTGTTATTCTTTATTCTTCAGAGATAATAAAAAGGCAGTTGGATTGGGGAATCCACTGTAAAACCTTGGAAACACCACCAGAGGACAATGACCATTTGTCTTTATTGAATTTCTTTTAAATGTAGTTCAGTGGCACAGATTATTCTATCCTCTTGCATAATAAATTGTAAAAAGTTTTTTTTTCACTATCTTTAATCTAATATTTTTCACCCTCTGTTTCAAATGCATCTGTTGCAATCCTACTAAAATTATTTATATCTCATAGGTATTCCAAGGTAAATAGCATCTCTTCACAATTCCCTAAAGGTTGGTAGCAGGTATTTACTTTTTGTTGTCAAGTTTCATCCAGTCCCTGTTTCCCAATTCAGTTACAACTTTGTAAAGATGACAATTCTCTTCTGGAATATTTAAATCCTAAATAACAACAGTGGAGTGAGGGAAGCAGACGCTGGATTTAATTCTTTGCAAGCTCTGCTGCTTGTGTTTCAAAACTCACATAAAGCTCCTTCAAAACTCTGAGGAATCATTTCCTGTATTTTCACTCTTGCTCAAAACAATAAATCAGAATTTCAGGCAGTGCAAACACCAAGCTACTGCTGAAGGGAGCATAGTAATTTATTTCTCTTAAGAGTTCTAAGAATTTTCTTTTTCATATAAAATGAGATAAAACCTGCTAACAGAATAAACTGTTCAAGGTAAATTCTGCTGACCTCCAGCTGTCTTTTTCTGATTATCACACAATATATAGCTGGAAACATGAACTATCTCACTTAATTTAACAGGACTCCTGATCCTCTTAAAATTATGATACACATAAAGTATATCCGGGTTTGGGACTTGGTTTTTGGCTTGCTTGTTCAGTTTGTGAAAAATCTGTTAGTCCTAACTCCCTGAATAATAATATTAACATCTCCATATTTTTAATGTTGGCTTTGTTTGGAGTAATACAGGTACAAATATTTTTTCTTACTGACCTTTCTTCTCTTCAAAGATAAACCAAAAAAGTGTTTTCTGTTTGGAAATGCATCCTTATGTGCTGCTATAAGGGTAGGGGGACCAGATGCTTTCTTACAGCTATTGATTACTAAGAAAGAAAGAGCTTGTAGGATTTTTTTTTTTAAGACATTTACTGCTAGAGGAAAAAAAAAAAGTTTACTCTCAAATTAGATTATGGAACTGTCTTTTTCCTGATGCCAAAAGTTAATTATTTTTTTATTGCAATTTGCAGGCTGGCATTCCCTAAGGGAGGATGTCAGAGTGAAATCTGACTCCTTGTTTTACTCCATCTGTCCTGCATCCTGCAGGGGACCCATCCTGTGTCTGTGTGTAGGTTTCTGGAGATGTGTGTGTGCTGGATGTGTGTTATCCATGACTACTTTCCTGTGGCTCCCTTGGCAGTAATGTCTTTTGACAACGTGGCTGTAGGCTGATGGAAAAACACACTGAGGAACTCACTCCTTTCTGGGTGACTTTATCCCTTTAAAATAAACTTTAGGCAAAGGTTCTCCATTCCTGCATGTGGAAGATACCCATGTTTTCCCAAAGGGAAAGGCTTTTGTTGACATTTCTGAGCAACCATGAAGAGTTCCAGGGTAACATCCATGTAATAAATTTTAGTAACTGAAGCATCAGCTCCCTTTCAGGTGCCCTTCCTGCATGGCAGCTGAACATATGCTTCAAGTAATTTCAGTATTCCTACCTAGCTGTTTCTTACAACATCAAAACATGAGAGTATTTCTCATCAATTTAACTGTCTATAAAGTGTTTTGGATTTTATAAGAACTGTATTCTTCAGATGAAGGATAAAATACTGAGTTTGCAGATTTCTGTTTAATTTGTGTAGGATATTCTTAAAATCAGGAGCTTCGAGCTGAATTTTTTCTGTTGTTTATCATGGTAGGGTTTTCCTTTTTTTCCTCCTCTTTGCATTTCATGCTGAAAACATCTTGATTATGGAAGCAATCTAGTTAAATATTGTATGTTTGGGGAAAGACTCACTTCTCTTGGAAGTCTCTTTCAATTGCTGTATTTTGAGAGTCTGTCACTGATCCGACGAGAAAGGGACAGAGAGAGAATTACAAATAGCAAATTTTTGTACTATTGGAATCGTAAGTGACAACCCAGGATTGACTATGGGATATTCTGCATCTTCAGTTTGACAGGGTGCAACAGTCCTGTGGCCATGCAGCCTTCACAGTTGTCATTTATACCCCAGTGCTTGGCCGGATGCTGTGGATACAAACAGAGACAGATCATGTGGGACACTCTCCGCTCCAGCGACACACAAGCTCCTACAGCTGCAGCTCTGGGACACTTCGTAGCTTCCAGTGGAGTTGGAATGTTTGAGTCACCAACAGGGCAGTGTGTCCTGTGTCCTTGACCACTTCACTCAATTAAAAATGCTCATATACACACTTGCTGCTTGTTAAAACTTGGCTCAGTTCACCACTGTCCAGCATCCAACATCTCAAAGATTTAAAATCTTCTTGCCCAAGAAAATTCAGAGATCTCAGTGCAACATGGCTTTGTGGGATATTGGGAGTGAAGGAGATGTCTCTGGAGGGAGCTGGATGCTTGTTAAGTGTAGAGCTGCTGCACTGGTCATTAGGAAACGTGTCCAGAAGCAGGTCTGAGCTGCTGGTTTGTGATGGTGCAGCAAGTGCCTTGGTCCACTCAGAACTGGGATGTTTAGGATGTCCCTGCTACCTTCTTCAGGAGGAATAAAAAGCAGTGGTCTGGTGTCAGACACTGCCTTGTTGAGGGGGTCTAGTGGCCCACCCCAAGAGGAAGGAGACCAAGGACCTTCTTAGCTCACTGTGCCACTCCTAAAAGATGTCCTAACCATGAAGCTGTGGACAAGGCTATGGAAGAGCCACTAGCAGCTATTCTAGTGAAATCAAACTAGAGAAGGAGCCTGATCTTATCACTCAAACACATTTCCCTGGTGTGTCTGACTCAAACTCCTTACCTGTTGTTTCTAATTGTGTCTTCAGAACAACAGCAGCAGTCTTAAGAACAGGTCTCAGTGTGAAGACCCTCCCGTGAAATTCCAACAATATTGAGAAGTTCAGCCATGATTCCTTGGTATACATAATAATTGTAGTAGTAGTAGTAGTAATAACAATAACAATAATAATAATAATCTCTTGCCCCTACAGCATTATAGACTATTAGGTTCCACATGGAGAAGGATTCGCAGCCAACCATCCAAATCCTCCCCAGGAGCAAAGCTGGGCCTTCCCAGCTCTTTTGGGTGGCAGTATTGAACTGCATCTTAGACAGCAGAGAAGCATTTTGGGTAAACTGGTTGCTATTTGTGAAGAGCCATGGGCACACCTCTGAGCCTGTCTAGGTCTGTCCCAAGTAGTAAAACAATATATAAAGAGACAGAAATGGTGAAGTCCTCTGCTGTGCTGATGTGCAGCACACTGCAATACTGTTAATTAATCTTTGTTATTTTGATGTCCAGTTTTTCTGACATGGGTTTTGATCTAATCTTGAAGAATTCTGAAACTCTCCTTTTTTTCTTTTTATGTGCAAGTACATTTAGGAGAGATTTTCATAATTTCTTTGTGTCCAGCTTCTCTAACAAGGTTGGACAGATTCTCACAGTTTCTGTTGCTAATATGATTCCTGGCAAATAGAGCAGAAGGTTCAGGAGAACAAAAGAAGTGATCTAATTTTAGTAATGGTGCAGACTGAGTCTGTCATTTTTCTCTCTCTTTTATCCTGCTACCCTTTCTGAATGTCAGAACCTCTCCCAGCACTGCCTCATTTCAGTTTGAATTGAATTCTTGTTCCTCGTCAAGGACTGGGCATGATGAGTTTTTAGATACTCCTCTGAACAGACACTGAGTATTTGAGAGGCTGATCAGGGAAATTCTGACTTGTCACAGGTAATTTGCTAAGAATGAACCACTTCCAGTGAAGCTTTTTTTGCAGATTAGAAATTCTCATATCTGAAATTTCACTTAATATGTATGTCATATTTCTATTCTCCATTTTAGATCCTAAATTGAAGTGTGAATCTATT